AAATGATGTTCATATGTCCTAATCGGCAGAGCTTAGTTTTTCTTCCCACATGTTGAACATTCTAACAGCATAGAGAGTTTATTTTCCCAAAAGTAAAACATAAATATATATATATATATATATATATATATATATATATATATATATATATATATACTTGTTTTGGAAGAATGATATTCCCATAGCACACCCACCTTGATGTAACTGTGGAATACAGATCTCAGCTGCCACTTATCTGCATTCAAGGTCAGTTCAAAACAGAAGAGATTAAGTTTATCTCCTTCTTCACAGTTGATATAGGTCAGTCGTCCATACACCACCACTTCCATCTTCCCTGTATCATCTTGTATTTCATAATAAGTGCAATCTTCCCTCACATTTTTCTGCAAAAGATTATGAACACTCATCTTCTGAGAAATGTATCAGGAATTCTTAYGTATTTGACAAATATAGGCTATAAATGAAAATGTTTATCTCTGGCAAGGTAAACAGATCTGAAGTTTCTGAATCGCAGGTAACAAAAACTTAAGGTATTTTCCACCGAACATCTCTCAGGCTTTCCTGATTTAATGTCTGCATCTGTAAGGTTTTTCTAGAAAACCTTATCTTCCTAATCTGTACTGTTTCCCCATAGGCATAGTGGATTACCTGTATAGGTTTCTTTGATAACCTCCACAAGAAAAGAGAAGAAAGTTCATTTAAGGCTCCCTGGGTGAGGCTGAGGAAAACTATTACATTTCCTCATTAAGTAGATTGTTATCTCAATATACAATTTATTGTTTGTCTTCTTCACTGACTTGCTCTTCTCCAAATATTAAATCCAGGTCATCTAACCCCAATGTTTTTGGTCATATCTCACTATATTTATTAGTTCTRCAGCCACATATATTTGCACTATTGTTTAAATTGAGTCTACAGAAAACATCCCAGGTAAAAGAAAAAGGTTGAGCTCAGAGGGTTACAAGCTCAAGGCCAGCCCTAGTCAACTTGGTGAGGCCCTGTCTAAGAAGATAGATGATTGTCAGATAGACAGACAGGCAGGCAGACAGGTCTAGGAACGTAGCTCCGTGACTGATTACCTCTGGTTTAAATCTTCACTACCAAAGAGAACAACAACAAAAACAGACCATCCTCAAAGACATACATAGCAGATTGACACACTTCCAACAAGCAGTTATCTCAGCTAAGGGTACTAAGTTGCACGGTGYATCGGGACTGAAAGACCCTAAGTCTAAGAATTCACCAAGCTTCTTTGCCAATTGAGGGGTCTCTGATKGAGACTATAGGTCTCTGATCTTTCAGCTTCTATGCTTCTCTTATRATTTAATGCAGAGGTCAGTTGCTCAATCATCTCTGGATGAAAAGTAATGAATGGGAAAAAGGTGAGAGCGTTTTAAAGGGACAAGAGTCCRGCTGATCAGAATCTGAGGTCACTGTTAAATGTCACCACATCCTGGGGCAGAGTCATCTGTTTGGTTTCTTATTATGTTTMGCACAACCAGATCCAGATTTGGGAGGTCAACTCTTTATTTACAATTAAGTTGYCATTGATACCGATGGGGAAACCTCAAGCAAAATCCTAAGGATACATGGGTTGAGATGAACTAAACGGTGTTATAGACCAGAATAGCTGTTAAAATGCCAAAGATTCTTGGTGACTCTCTTTCTGAAGAACTCTCCTGGTGATATCCTGTAAAGACAGCTGTTCTGAGACTTACTATGCCATACTCTGATGATGAAGTCTCCACTTCCCAACCCCTGATCAGTCAGGCCTTGATTTCCTCTGTTCAGTAAATTGACTTAAAAAGTTAAGACTCTTAAAATCTGGGCTTGCAGAAGAAA